GGAATAAGATTTGGGAGAAGACACAGTTCCTGCCCCTTAAAGGCTTATGACCTGTGGGGGAAAGAGATAAATAATTATAATGCGATTTTATAAGAGCTATAATATACCTATGAATGCATACAGTGTCATTAAAAATAACTTTGTTAGAAAGGGTCCATATCTAATACCCCAATGTAACCTACAGTTTTTTGAACATGGTAGACACAATAAATATTTGTTAATGAGAATGATGAAGCCATTCTAGAATGTTGCCTTAGGGGATCTCAACAGATTTACTGGTTTACAAGAGAAACCACATGAAACTGAGGCCCTTTAGCTCTTTTATTAGAAAAATCCTTTGGATGAAGTTCAAGACTAATCTTTCTTATTCAAGATTCCACTCCCTAGCAAATGATGCTATAGTGTGAATCCAGCACTATAATAAATAAGCATTATTATATACATAGAAAAGATAATTACTTGGGCCTGGTTGGGAGTTGAAGGAAATGTACTGATTGAGAGATAACAAAGTAAAGCTAATTATCTTAGTAACTGGGTTCACTTCACAAATTCAATCTAGGATTCATAAGGAATTTGTGATTCATTATTTGCTGGCATCAGTTCAAGAAGACAGCATTTTTAGACAGCTGTTAATATAACCAAAAAGATGTTTTTTACATCTCAGCGAGCAATAATTATAATATATTTGGCTACAGCCTACACTAGTATAATGCATCTGAAAATCAGAGTCACCTGAACAAGTCCTACTAATAATACTATCAAAATTAGCAATTTCTATTGAAGCCTTTCTATGCTTGGGAAAGGCTCTCATCCTTGTTTTTTAAGTGGCAGATTGATAAGAGGAGAAAGAGGAACGAGAATGTGATAATCAAAAGCAACAAACTAGACTTCATTTTACTCAGTTACTAAGTACTTATTTCTCCCTGCTTTAATGACATTATCACACACACATAATGTTCGTTGATCCAGTGAGCCAACAACCACAATTACTGAAAACACTCTGCATGTGCCAGGTTTCCTGGTTAGTGCTGGGCTTACAAAGATGGCCCCTGCCCTTAAAATTTCACTGGAGGCCACGGGCTCCTTGCAAACATGCTGTCCTCCTCAGCAAGGAAGCACACCACCATTCACCAGCTGTAGACAAGCCGAGGAGAGACAGGAGGCTTGGTGGCTACTTCAGGGGGTGTTTGACCTCAGAGGGTTCCTTCCTGCCCTAGAGATTGGGAGACAACGACACAGCAATTGCTCTGCCTCTGGGGTCTGCTTTCTCCATAGTACAAGAGGTTCTCAAAGACTTGAATACATACAGGTGACCTATACATACACACAAGCACCAAAAAGCATGGTTCCAGAGCTGATGCAGAGTGTTTGAGCTGGAAAAATTAAAGTGATCACCTAATCCAACTCTTCATTTTATAGGTGAAGCTCAGAGAAGCAAAATAACTTGCTCAGAGCCACACAGCCAGGAAGGGTAGAGCCAGGACTAGAACCCAGGTCTTCTTGTCTCAACCAAGGGCTCCTTCCACAATGTCACACTGACTCAGTGAAAGCCAACATACTATTTGTGGGAGTAGAGAACTAGTCAATATTTTTACCAACTAATCTGGTACAGGTGCCTGACTAATAAATAGGGAACATCAGGCTGTCCATAGTACTGCTGCCTCATGGCAGAATACAAGCCATGGCTGTTTCTACACCTGGTAGGAGCTCCAGTTCTTAACCTAATCATGATGGCTGTCAGTGAATTTTGCCAGCTGTTCTATTTCCTTGGAGAGAATTGTGCATTTACACCATAGCATGTCTATTCTCACCCCCTATCAATTCTACAAAGAGAAAGAACGAAAGTGTGTGTGTGAAAGACCTGGGTGTGTTTGAGTGTGCTGATAGCACTCTCAGATACCAGAGGACTGTCACATGGGAACAAGATGACAAAAAGCCTGATTGCTGTTAATGTGCATTCATCTGTCAGAGGCAGTGTAAAATGAACCCTGTGATTAAAGGCATTATCCAAATCACAGCCACAGCCCTGAAATGGACACCGAGCGTGGGTGGAGGAAACAAGATGGGAGGTTCCCTTTTCCCAAACCTGGCATCAGAAGAATCAGATCTAGAAAAGACCCGCTAGATCACCGCTTCTCTGGCCAGCAGGAGGGTGAACATACACTGGAAATTACCAAAAATGGAGTTTCAAAGTGAGTCACAAGGTCACAAGGACTCCCTCGGGAAGACGCTAGTTCAGCTTAGCTTTCGTGGCCTTAGTGGAAGGGGGCGGCTTCTCTCGCAGGTGCTACCTCAGCATACTGCTCCTTACGTGTTGTGTGATCTGACTTCAGTTTCTCACATGCACGACGGGGATACCACCACACATGGCACATGATACAGGGGGGAGACAGTGAGATGGGAAATCAGATTGTCTCCTAATGACAAAACTACGAAGTCGCCCCATAATGGACAACATCAGAGGATACTAAATTACTTGAAAGGTACAGAACTGCCCCTAGGACAGCAGGCCTTGAAATGTAACCTAACTGAAAGTAAACAGAGATGATGTCAGTCAGAAGTGTATGTGCATTGAAATGGTGGGGAGATTCTGGGCATGTCAGCATGGAAGTATAGGAGCCAGAGAGCCACAGAGCCAAACGCTGTCAGGGTCTGTCAAACAGACTCCAGCAACAGCATCTGCCCAACAAGGCCAGTATGAACATCCACTGGAGCCAAGTATTGTAGCACCTGAGGCCAGGAAACCTTCCTGCCGCACAATTAGCTGACGTGCTCCATTTGTGTGCGCACCCAGCAACCGCTAATAACTTGCCTTCTCACATCATTTGCCTCCAATAGAAAGAAAATGTGCTCGCCAGGCTGATGGGAGTACCTTGTCCAGGAGATTTCTATGTCTCAGAATGAATGAAGACACTGTTGGTCTAGTTTATACATCAGCCTCTTCTGAACCTTGTCTGTATGAGTTAGCATCCTAAGGTTCATAACTTTGCATCTGATGAGGCTCAGTGTCTGGCTCTGAAAGGCTGACAGTTCAGACCCTAGTGAGAGAGGTGCAGTCCTGTGAGGAGATCACCTGTGTGGCTCGTTTCCCCAGGTGACTGGGTGCCATGGACGCTGACCAAGAGAAATGTACACAAGGTGATGAGGGGATGGATGGCAATGAGTGTGAAAGCATCCTGTAACCCAGAAAGTGCCCCCCAGAGACAGTCTTTCTATCAGCTGGACATGAAGGCACCAAGCCGCCAGCTTCCTCACACGGAGGGCTGTGCAAAGCAATCTGACATGTGTGACAAAAGCCACACTGGGATTCAGCCTGGCTCCCTGAGTCACGAGCTTGGGTTGCACTGGCCCATTTTCTTCTCTGAGGATATGTCTTGTGCAAATTCACATTGCTGTCGTCCACAATTTCTTTAATGGGGGCCCAGGGACTTGATAGGCCTCAGCTTACTTCAGCAACCCTCCTGCTCAGGAACTCCTGAGAGGACAACACTAAAGACTGTCCCATGGACAACCTCTGCATACATGTATGTGAGGTAGGGGGAGAAGCAGAAAAGATAGCCCCAGGGTAAGAACAAGATGGGTCCATGGTCCCCACAGTGGGCGTCAAAGATATTTAATAAGCTATTACAGATTCCTCACCCTTTTGAATTTTGAAAGATTTGGTTCCTTATAAACAGTATATCTGTTTTTTTCCTACATACTTCCAACCTCAGCCATAAAACACTTTCTAGAACCACTCTTAAAGATATTAAGGGAGCATGAGAGAACACGTTTTGGTCTAATATACAGGAAGCTTTTGTAGCCATCCAGAGATGCCCCAAGAAGTAGTAAATTTCCCATCACTAGAGGTATCCTGGACATACCTTGGACATACATTGGACAATCTCTTTTGTGAGGATGTTATAGAGAAGATTTATACCCTTGGATTGACGAGACAGCTACCCTTTAAGATCCCTCTCAGTCATGCAATTCTCCAAGTTTACGTTGCCTACCACTGTGTACTTGTCTTTGCCTTCCATACCTCCACCCTCTGCCCCTCACACCCCAGACTCAAGTCTGCTTAAGTCCCATTTGAATAAAAAGCAACTTAGGTTTGGAACCAAAGGAAACTCAAGTCTAAGTAGTACTATGCTATGGTACTACTGTCAATAAGTGTAATAATAAATTTTATAAAAACAAAGGCATTAGCCGAGTCCAGGAAAAAAAAAAACCAAAAAAACCCCCAAAACCTCTCCTTACATATCTTCCATTAACCAGGCTCTTTTCCATTACTTTTTGAAAACACACGTCCCCTGCCCCTTATGAATCTAGTATTTCCAAGGGGTTGATGTTACTCTCCCACAACACAGACAACTAACACAAAACAGACAAGTGTTTAAACAACACAGGCGCACTTGCCTGTCTCACCCCGACCCAGAGCAACGCTGTGTGCATCAACCCCTCCCTCCTCTTCCTCCCACCTTAGCCATGCTCCACCTTCCCGCACACTGAGCAAGAGCAGTGGCTGGGTCTTAAGGACTATTTAAATATGGGCTGTAATAGAGGACACAGGATGCACAAAGGGGCTGTGTGGCACCTGGGGTGGGACTGAGGCTTGCTCCAGCAACAGAAGGGGACAGCTGCCAAGGCAGCCTCCTCTCATCCACTCCCCCACTGAACCCTGTTACTCATTATCATTTAAATTGGAAATAATTCCCAAGATCAAGATTCAAAGGTAAAGGTATAAAAAAAGGAGAGGGGTTTGAACGCAAGGATGGCAGGAGTTGACGCCCGTCACCTGTGAGATACCAGGACTGATGCAGCAAGGCGGCTGACTAGGCCACAGGCCCTGCCTCATTCTCTGCTCTGCTGCAGCCTCTCAACAGTGTTGCTTGTCACAGCAGAAGAGCTCGCCAGGTAAGGGAGGGATTCTGTCCAGAGAGTGAGCTAGAAGGGAAGGTACCCCCTGCCTGCCTTCCCGGCTTCCCTCTCTCCCGCGTTTCTGGTTCAGAGCCTCTTACCTTTTTCTTCTTCTTCAGAATCACTTTCACTCCATCCACTGAAACCATAATGCTCACTTTCTTCTTCTTGATGTTCTTGGCTTTAAACTCATACTGCAAAGGAGAAGAGAACAAAGAAATGTAATCCAATCAGTGCATCTGTACAGCCCCAGCTAGCCCAGAGCCTGACACAGAGGGCCACGGACAGGTGCGGGGAGCTGGTGCCGTTCCTGGGGATATGGAGCACCTCGGGATGGAAAAGCAGGCAGATGTCTGCAGGCAGGGGCCCAGGCAATCTCTGGGTTAGAACAAGGACACTAAGTGGCTATCAATTCTACCACTCAGCCATCAGGTTGGACCATAGGAATAGACCTAATCTATCCTAATGAGATGAGAACACAACCTACTTTGAAAATTTCATCAAAAAATCAGAAACTTCCCTCACTAACTCATTCTACCATTTCATGACTTCCACTGGCAGGCAAGTATTCCTGTGTCTAACCAAATGCTGCTGAAACTCCATTCCATCTTCAATGAACAGTAAGAGGAGCTGGTGCCAGTCTTTGTATCAGGAGTTTTTGCACACCAAAAGATAATTGTGAGTTCTAAGTTATTCCCTACGAGTTCAATCCCCAAATTCCTTTATCTGTGAGTCAGTCTCCAAGTCTACCCACAGTCCTATTAGTCTGAAGATTTGGGGGTAGAGATTATTCTAGAAAAGATCTTACCTATGACAGCTATAAGAAGGGGCACTGCCTCACAACCCCTTTATTTTAAACTCCACTTTGCAGTCCTGAACAGAGCTGCTCTAATCACAGCCCCACACTGCTGACGGATATTCACCTCAGCCTAAATCCCAGATCTTTCTGTAACATTTGCTCATTCACAGCCACTTCCTGTGCTTGTGTAGCTATTCATAACTGGCATATAATTCTACATTTTCCCCAGCAAACTTCAGTCTGAGCACTTCTCCAGTTTTTTTAAACCATTTTCATCTGAACCCCATCTTACTACCTAGCAAACTGACCTGGCAAGCTCTCTAATCAAACATCTGGGCTACAGATTAGAAAATAAGTAACACAGGATCCAGAGCCAACCTACAGCCCCTCTTCTCTGGGACCTTTCATACTCAAGACGTCCCACCATGCTACCATTCAAGCCTGCTTAAAGGTACCCAGCTCCTTGCATGTGCATCTAAAATCTAATTATCTCTACAGCTAGTGTGTTGATAGGAATGAACATAATCTATCCTAATGAGATGAATACATAGTCTACTTTGAAAATCTCATTGCAAATCCAGAATCTTCTCTTGGCCATGCCTTTTAATACTCTAATGTTAATAACTCAACTTAGAGCTTCCTATACTGTCTAAAGTCTATCCCTTCCACTAAAATCTCAGTGATCTTATTGTGTAGTATAGAGTTAGTGTTGATGCCCCTTGGCTGTCTGCTTTTTATGGACAAGAGCATGACCTCACTGAGGTGAAATATCTTTATGTTGTCAGGGAAGGCTCTGGATCACAGCTGATTTGAGTCTCCAAGTGATGGCAACCTACATCACTCCCAAGTCTGGGGGTCAGTTCCCCCACCTCCAATCACTTCCAACAGCTCTCCTTTTTATCAAGGGGGCCTGGAAGGAGAGCAAACCAGAGCAGCAAACACACAGGAGAGAGAAAAGAAAACTATAGCCTCAGAGTCTGCTTCAGCCTAGGACTCTAAAGCCAATTATGAGTAAAGGAGGGGAGGCGGGGTGCATCTGACAGGAAGAGGAGGAAGAGGAAAATTCTTTGTACTGCAGTCTGGCTCAGACACATAACAAATGACTCTTTAGGCCAGCAGCCACAAACCGGTGAAGTCTAGAATTTGTCTGATTGGCGTGCACTTGGGGACACAGCTCCAACTTGCAGTATATCCCAGGACTGCAGCATTCTGCTTAGCTGCAGTGCTAGATGAACTGAAACGACCTCAGGGTGGGAGAACCGGCATGACAATCTGCAAGTTGGCTGGCTCTGATCTTGTGCCTACTGGGAGAGAGGAACCAGCTATGTTTCCTGACCACACCCGCATTTACCTTCACTCACGTGGACTTTAATAAACACAACTTTCCAGCTACACCTCCCTTTGAACAAGTCACTAAAATCAGGGCTGCTCCTGTCAGCCAAAGGAATACAGAAGGTGTGTTTTGATGAACTCAGGTGAAAGTTAAGAGCATAAGAGTCCTAAAAACACCCAGAGGATGACAAAACCTGATCTAGACAGGTCAGTCCTCAACTATTTGATTGTCTTTGTTCTCTTCCAGTATGTCACTTTCACAAGCTCCACATACTTCCTTCTTTCTCTTTTCTAGCAACACAGTCAAAATGAATACCAACTACCTACCCCTGCAAGGAACTATGTTGTTCTCGCCAGCCCTAGTTTTAGAGAACATATTGCATGCTAAGCCAGAACTTTTTTTTTTTTTTGGACCGGTAAGGGGATCGCATCCCAAGTGAGCCACAGGGCCAGCTCTAAGCCAGACCTTTAAATGCCTTCTACTTCCAGAAGAATCTTGTAGTTGACCATATCTCTCTCTCGTTTGATCCATGCCCCTGTTGGTTTCCCTCTCTCTCTTGAGACTTTTATTTAATCAAGATCCTTCCCTCAAGCTCGGCCAAGAGGCACCCAGCCAACTCCTCACTTGTGTGTCTGAAACCTTAACTATTTCTATAGTTAGTGTCTTGACAAGCTTGGCCATGTCTTTTAATACCTTCATCATAAGAACTCAAAATGCAACTAAACTTTCTCTTTGGAACTGGAAAACAGCCTCTAATTTGACCACCATGCACATACTCCCAGATGGCTCTTACAGGGTCTATGGGCAGTGACCACACAGAAAAGCATGACCAAATGATTTCTCCCAAGATCTCAATGATAGTGACAACACAGGTGCTCCTTACAAGAGCTGGTAGAATGCTTCAAAATGAAAATGGGCAAGAAAAGCAGAAATAGGCCTCCAGGTCCTGTTAATAACAGCTACCAGTACTATCTGAGTGTTGTTTCTAAGGGCTTAGGTTAGACACAATCTGTATTTACTCCACCTGCCTGCTGGTCAGATGTCCCAAACCATTTTCAACTGGAGAATTAGAATTTAATTGCAGTTCTGTTTGGAAACTAGGGAAACTAAAGGAACTGAAGTATCTGAAAATGCTTAAATATTTATTATCATTAAGCCATTTGTTTATATGTCAATTACACTTCACTCGGACAACCATGTTATTGTGCTCATTGGGAAGACAGAAAATGGATTTGGACAGAGGGGAGACAATGGAATAACCAGGAGAACAGAAACAGGAGGGCTTCTCAGGGACAGGTCCTTTTTCCCAGACTGTGTTGCTCCAAGGTGGAGCACTGTCTGGGCAGCTGGGCTCAGGAGGAAGCATCTGTGTTCTACAGGACAGGAATCTAATCTGCTCAGGCTTTGCCAGGGGCTGAAGAACAAAAAGGACTGATGGTGCCACCGTCTGTGGCTAAGGCCAGCCTCCCACAAAGCCCATGCCAACCCTAGAGTGTGTGCCAACAGACCTGGCCCTTCCCCCAGAATGGCCAACCTGATCTGGTACATTTGCTTTGCTAGCCAGAGCCCCACCAGCAAGGACAGATGAAGCCCTACAGGATCTGACCTTTTAGGAAACAAAACAATACAAGTCCTGGAACACCAACGCAGACAAGAAAGACCAAGGGAAAGTGTTTGGAGTTCACAAACAGAGCCTTGGGACCTTGTATTGGAATAGTGGCCCTAGAACTTAATGTACTGTGCCAGTGAGTAAGGCCCAGGAATAGGAAGCTGGGTAGAGAGAGGATCCAACAGGAGCCAGGAGTAAACACTCAAGAGAGGACATGAGTAAGAACATTGGCCAGAAGTTGGAACCCAGAACTACCTCCTAACCCTGTGCGTCCCAGTCCCTGGGAATCCAGGCAGAGGAAGCAGAAAGTCTGCAACAGCAGAGTGGGTGAAACAGCTGAGATGGGCACCTAATGAAGGGACCAGCCCAGCCCTGGGCTTGAGGATATCAGATGCTCCCACACACTTAACAGTCTATTTTCACTACAATGTGTAGCTCCCTGAAGAATTGTTGGATGTTTGACAACAGCTCATTCTCGACCAACATATATATATATGTGTGTGTGTGTATATATATATATATATGTTGGTCGAGAATATATATATATATCCCACACACACACAGGATCCTTGGTTCCTGAGCCACCTTGGGTACAAATAATTTGGCTAGTGATACATTCTCTCACCTGCTTCATAGAAAGAAAGTTCCCTCGCGTTCTTAGCCATAAAATTCATTTTGCCCAGCTCCTTCCCACTGTCCCCACAATGCTCACAGATGTGAGCGAAGACCTGCTTATTAGTCAAGGTGCTCAGAGGCAACTTCACCAAGAGGAGAGGATTCAGTTTGCAAAGGCACATAGTGATGCTTAGACTTCTCAGTCCTCAGCTTATATTCGGCTGAGTTCACTACCTGTCTAGAAGGAGCCCTGTGGCTTTGCTTCCTGCAAATAATCACAGGAAATTTAAAAGTGAATTCTGACAGTGCCGCTGGGCATTTTAATATTCTGCCTGGAGTCTTGGTTTTGTGAGTGTGAGTACATCTCCCCAACAAAACTGTAAGCACCTTGACGAAAGGGACTGCCTTATAAAGGACTTACAAGAAGTCCTCCTGCACTTATTTGAGAGTTTAATAACTTAAGTAGTGAGATACAAAATTCGAGTACACCCATGTTCATAGCAGCATTATTCACAATAGCCAAAAGGTAGAAGCAACCCTCCATCAATGGACGAATGGATACACAAATGTGGCTTATGCATACAATGGAATAGTATTCAGCCTTAAAAAGGGAAGAAATTCTGACACATGCTACAACATGGATAAACCTTGAGGACATTATACTAACTGAAATAAGCCTGTTACAAAAATACAAATACTTTATGATTCCACTTGTACAAGGCATGTTGTCAAATTCACAGACACACAGTAGTATGGTGGTTGCCAGGGGCTGAGGGCAGGTGGTAACGGGGAGTTAGTGTTTAAAGGGTACAGAGTTTAAATTTAGCAAGATAAGAAA